GAGTCAGCATGTTGCTCCCAACAATCTGGGTCCTCATTTTATTGACCTCGGAAGGATGGAAGGCTGAATCAACCTTGAGCCTGGTAAGGATTGAACCCCTGTCAGTGGGCAGAGTTAGCCTGCAATACTGCATTCAAACCACTGTGCCACCAAGGCTCCTTCTAGCCCCGTGATGGTGAACCTAATTAAGGATTCTTGCCAACAGTGCTGGAGACAGACTTGCAACTCATTTTTTAATTACGCACATTTTTAAATGTAAAAAGTCAGATGGGATGGTGAGAGCCTGGCAGGATCTAAGAGTAATATCCATTTTCATATTTGTCTCTGGGTACCATACTGTGAATCCTGATCTTGGTTATCGAAACATAAAAAAGTTGGAGGAAGGAATGTAGCCCTGGTGAAATTGAGGGATTCCCAGGGGCTTTCATATTTTGATAGTTTTCGAGTTTTGTGAGTGGAAGCTTTTTCTTGCATCTGAAAAGTCTAGCATTTCTGAGAACAAGACTTTGGCTTTTTCCATTTGTGTGTTCTTCCTGATATCTGCAATCATTCTGAGTAGAAAGGGATGATAAGTATGTTAGAGGTCTGATTTTGTGTTTTATCTTCTCAGGTGCATCTCCAGGACCCATTCCAGTCTGAGTCATCTCAAAAACTTCAGTGCCTGCTGACCAGATGGCGGGAGAAAGTATTTTCTCTCCTGGTGCAGCTGAAGTCTCAGGAGCTGAGCCATAGGGATGATACTAAAGTTTTGGAGAAGAAGGTATGGTCATGAAGAAGGACTGGGGGCTTGAGAAGATTAGAGTACACACAGAAAATGCCAGCTGTTGTGCATTTTACAAATGGGAACTCCTCAATTTATCAGGCTCTGTGGTTAGAAAACAGTACTGCAGGCTAACACTGCTCACTGCCAGCAGTTTGATCCTAATGGGGCTTAAGGTTGAGTCAACCTTCCATCCTTCTGAGGTGGGTAAAATGAGGACCCAGATTCTTTGGGGGCCATATGCTGATTCTGTAAACTGCTTAGAG